ATTTTTTGACGGTCTTTCTTTGCCTTTCGCCATTGGCGTACTATTGAGACCCTCACGTCCCCTCTAAACCCCTGTGAGATCTATCGTAATCGCTGCCTTTAAAGAGGCCATTGGCAGCACCGATGAGACTCGCATAATTGCTAAAATCAAGGGCAAAAACGGGTACCATTTATTGGGTTTCGGGCCGTTTTTCTTGGTTTTTCCATCCCGCATCATGACTGCCAGTACCTTGATTCTTAATGAGTTACCTTCCATTGTCAACTCCGCTTCTTCAGCTAACGAAGCGGTGCCTCAAAATTGGGGGTTAGCCTCATGATTTTTGTGGGGTACTGCATCCTATAGGCTGAATAAGCATAAGAGGGACCTACGGTTGTATTTATTCACATCACCATGGGAAATGCCTGGTGCCAAGTGTACTTCACCGTTATTCCTCCTTAACTTCTGCTTGAATGCATGTAATTCGTAACGATCTTATCGTTAGTCCCAAGTTGGGTAAAGTAGACAACTCGACATAAGAGCATAGTGGGCTAGGTTAATCTTTTCTGTGGGTGAAATATAACTGTTCGCAACTGCAAGGACGTCGGCTAGGGCCAAAAGGCTCGGTCCTTTGCTGAACACTTGCAAACGAACGAACGAACGAACGAACGACCGCCAATCAAATCACCTCTGGTCCTGCTTGTCACGCTTTACGCGGCAGGGTGTCTGTGCTCTCTCGTTTGTGCTGTTCCCCTTCATGTCGCTCGTCTGCTCACTCTCCTCAACGCAGAATGTCTCTAACCATTAGCCTGACTGTTTTGTTTGTCTCGTCGACCACCACGCAATAAAGTAGGACCTTTGATACCAACGTTCTCGGCGCTTCTTTCTTTCTCTTCTTCCTTAACAATCCATTCATTGCGACCACATACTCATTCACGGCTTCTTCGTCCCTTATGCAGTATCTATGGTATTCTATGGCAGTCATGACTTAGTGCATTGACATCCGCATATGACGAAAGCAATCGAAACTTAGACTCTGCTCACTCTTAGGAAAATCCCAAAAACTAATGTTTGTTAAAAGTTGTTTAGGCCCTTGGCAGGAGAAAGCCTTTTGGACAAAACGTTGAAGAATTCAAATAGCAAGTAATTAATGTAGATTGGATTGTTCTACAGCGAATCTGCGTAATATGCCTATGCTTGGAAGAAGCCCAGGGTTCCGATGAGCGTTGCCTCCAAAACGCATAATTTTGCGTTGTAATAAGTCAAGAAATTATCTGTTGGTGTTTAAGTGAATAGAGGTGTCCAACTCTATGATTGTGCATGTTTAATCACACCATAAACACGACAATCCATTTTCTTTCGTTCTAACTATCTGTCATCCTTATCAGTGATAAGCGCAGTCGATAGTGTAACGAAGCATCTTGCGACTCCATCGACTTTCCGCACTGCTTTCGAACTCACCTCTGATGAATTTTTGGTGTGAAACTGAGCTAATTTCTCTTCTGCTTGAATGTTTTCAACTGTTCCTCAATTTTATTAAATCAAGCTTTTCACTTGTTCAAGCTATCCAGCATGCTTTGTGACCCAACTAGGGACTGAGTTCTCTGCATCGTCTGCGGTCTGTGTAGGGAAAAGGAAACAGAGAGTAAGGTTACTCTAGATTTACAGTGGTGTGGCGTACCAGAGGCATGGCGTACCTGCAGAGTATCATCCGGTGCTCTTATATTCCTTTTTGTTTTCCAACTTGCCTTTAAAGGAGCAACCTCAGGTTAAGCAAGGTTCTTATGGCGACAATGTAGATGGATGTGTAAGGAAGGGAAATTCTCACTAGACGGTCAATTACCTTGTACTTCTGACAGTCTAAAGGCCATTTTTCCATAGATACCCCTAGAAAATACTCACCTCGTGTGAAGTTTGAGGTGACTTTAAGGCAGGAACGGCACTAGTGATCTTGCGATCTGAGGATCGAATCTCCCTCTTCAAGGGTCGGGTCACGGAATACCAGACTGTAACCCACTACACTTGCCACCACAGACGAAGTGCATTTGAGCGTTGGCTTGCTCTGACAAGGGAGGTCTTTCAGGACATGGAGCGCTTTTTCGAAATGGTTTTCTGCATGTTGTAGGGGCTCATGCGAGGAACACAGAACCATGATCCATTTTTCCTGAACGCCTCCAGGAATGTCAAAACAGTGGTGAAGAAATGGTCCAGAGTTCGATCCCCGGTGATGACTAATTTTTGCAATATAGTTTGGCGCCCCCAGATTGCCGCCAAATGGCGCCATCGTCGAGAATAGATGTCATTGTCGTGTTTTGCGGCAATTTGGAGGCGCCAACATAAATTGCAAAAATTTGTCATCACGGAGGATCGAACTTTGGACCATTTCTTCCCCGCTGTTTTGACATTCCTGGGGGCGTTCAGGAAAAATGGACCATGGTTCTGTGTTCCTCACATGAGCCTCTACAACATTCAGAAACCATTTTGAAAAAACGCTCCATGTCCTGAAAGACCTCCCTTGTGAGAGCTATCGTATTGATCAAATGTTCACGTACTATGCAATTCTGAATGTCTGTAGAGTAGTGAGAGGCGTTTTCGATGATTAGGCTGGTGGAACAATCCTCTTCGTGAGTTAGATAGTCTAGCGCGTAAGCGTAGAGGTTACGCTGAATTTTGAAAGTAAGGAATAAATGCGCTGAAAGCTTATCGCATAAGACCGGGAACGCCCATCATGCCGGCAGCCGCTCTAGAATCAAAGTCCCCAGTGTTTATTTTCAGTTAGTTCGTGCAATGCTCATAAGCTACTGCAGAAGGGAGGGCTTGAAACGTTCTCATTGGTACTTAGCCCTCTTTTCTGTCGTTGATTCTTACATAGCGGAGACCAGGATCAGTCGTCGCTTTCACACTTTTTTCATAAAGTTTACGACCCCTCCCTAGAGGAGGGCTCTTATGAGGGATCGTTAATCTTCGACCTCGAGTCTGAATACGATCCTCTACCGCCATCAGCCTTGGGTGATCCCCAAATATGACCACGCCTTCGTCATCATATGTAGCTGCTTTCTGAATTTGATCCTGTGACAGTATGCTCCATCTCCGCCCACTTCCGTCCTGGAATAGCAGTCGAGCGAGAGAAGGGGGCGGAGGTAAATATGTCCAAAAACGTCAAATTTCTTTTTTTTTCACGCTTTTCAAAAATTACACCAACTTGTAGAAATCCCGTCAGAAACGCTCCACTCTCTCCCGACCCACGACCCTTACAACTTTCTCAAGAACGACCCCTTTCCACTTTCACATTTTTCAAAAGGGGATCAGCCTTTTTCGTCTCCGAAAACGACCCACCCCCGGCTCGAATACTCAGAGCGAACTGTTGACGCTGACGGGGACTTCTGCACCACCATACGTTTTATTTTAGAATCCCTACTCACGTACTCACCGTACTCACGTCTTGCTATCATGGGATAGTCTTTTGAACGTATCAACATCGTGCAGTTTACACTGGATTATTTTGAATGCTTAGTAATTTGGATTCTTCCATTTCTGAAATTTTGTAAAAAAAAAAGTCCTTGACTGAAAAATATCGTGTTTACGATGGATGATTTTTTTCAATCTCATCAAGAATTCAACATTTTCTTTAGTTCACAGAATGGCATTGCTCGCACGTAGCGCTGTGCGATTGATAACACATGTCGAGCGAGTTGCCATGCCAGTGAGGGCCTTCTCCGTTACGCCATCCATATTTGCAGGTGAATACGACTACAAAAAGGAATATGTCTGTTACAATTAAGAGCGAGAAGATGATTGGTTGTTGAAGAAGGCGGGACTTCTCTCGATCGCTATACCCATCCAACCTACACAGATTCTTTCTTGGAGATTTGTCGTGTTGATAGCCGCTGACTGGGCAAAAATTACGTCCCTATCATCGAATTCCTGGGCGGGGCGCGGGGGGCGGGCGGCGGGCCGGGCACTTGCAAGCAGTCTGGACCCATCACCCTTTATATTTCTCTGGTGCAGGATAAGTGGTAAAGTTTGTCTGGTATTAAAACAAATAATAACAAATGAAAAAAGCCATCATCCGCATATTCTAAATTAATGTCTGATGCATAGCGTATCCCAAAAAAATGGGGGGCGGAGATCAACACGGCAAGCTTTTTGTCATTTTTAAGCTATCGTCCCACTTTGTTTGCATAGTGAAACTCTCTGACAAATGTGAATGCACAGAGCGCTGCCAGTGGGAACAGGGTGGATTCTTCATACTTCTTCACTGGATTTATACGTGGATTGGATTTCTTTTCTATTGCCCTAATTTCCAGAACGCAAGTACACCAAAAAGCACGAGTGGGTTTCAGTGGAAGGAGAATTGGGCACTGTTGGCATTACGGATTTCGCAGCGGTAAGTTGTTATTGTCAGGGTTAGCAGTTTCTTAAGAAGCTATTTATCGAAGGCTTCGTACTTGATTAGACATCTACAGGAATTAGATGTCACCTGAAGAGAGTACTCATGAAGGTTTTAGTTTGCGTTGTTCTTTAAAATAGTAAGCAGATTGAACTAGCAAGTGATAGTCACTTCTAGGTGCCAGCTTTCGGAATATAAAGACTATGTAAATTGTTTTGAACGCCAGCAACTATGAGTACCCAAAACAAATAAACGGTCTCTGGAATGAACGCTTTAGTTCACTTGTAGGAGCAACTTGGCGACATTGTCTTCGTTGAACTTCCAGAAAAAGATGCCAAAATCGTGAAAGGAGAATCAACAGGAGCAGTAGAAAGTGTCAAGGTATGCTATAGTGTGAATTTTCGTAATACCACTGAGTTCAAAATCTGAATAGAGGAGTGAATTCGTTTTGTTATGCGTACGGCAATTACGGTGCTTGCCGTACTTCAACAATCCACCCGAAAAATGCGATTTCGCGTTTGTTTTTCTTTTCTCCATTTGGGTACTTTTTATAGAACTAAAGCCTTCGGATTCAGCTTGTGGAGTTCTATAAACTGGTGCTTCCAATGTTTAGAAAAGCCTTGTCTTGGATTGCGCCACGCACTTGAGTTTCGATTCAAAAGGTTCAATCAAAGAGCGTGTTTGTGTGTGGTGCGACATAATCCAACTTATGTAACCTGGTCGTACTGTAGAAAGATGGGCTCGGACACTTGTCCCTGAATGTGCCACGTACTTCAGTTGATCCACTTTCTTATATGATTAACTGAATATTGTTTTCAAATTCCAGCATCTTTCTCTCATTTGCAAGTGCTTAGTAGCTAAGTTTTTAGTCCCTGCGCTCAACATCCCCTTCTCCCGAATGAAAATGGGAATCTTACCAGGAAAGGTCATTAGGCCAACCCGGCCAAATGAAATGAGGTGCACATTTCTGTACGCAGCATGAGACGCTGAACTCAAATCTGCTTTCATTATCTGCTGAACTCTTCTCTGAAAGGAGTTACGGAGGGTTTTTGTTGCCGCCCTTGATTTTCAGTGTCTTGCCTGCAATCACATGTAAGCCCCATTATAAACGTCACGAATATCAGCGTTGTGACTTCGGTGACGCATCTGATAGCGGTCTTGCTTCTCAAGCAAGGGGTTGCGGATTCGGTTCCTCCAAAGTTTGTGCTTTGCTTTTTTCAACATGGCTGAAAAGCCTTTTTGAATCCGTTATTTTATCAACGGTCGCCCGACGCTACATCTACGAAGAGTTTGCAAGCAGATCCTCTTAAGTTTGAGCACTACTTGTCTGTGAGTGGTGCCCGTAGTGCAGGTGCTATGCTTTTCCGTGGCAAGTAGGTACGATATTCGTATTCAGGAGATCAAACCATTGAGAATAAGAAGAGCAATGATGGGATTACCACTCCTCAAACTCCACTTTTTTGGGTTGACAATCATGGACCATGAGGGAAAGGGGTTAGGGTTCTATTTGGTAGATCTTTGGATGATGCAGACGGGCAAGCCAGACACAATTTTTGTCTATTATGAAAAGTGTTTAAAAGGTTTATTCTACCCAAGTGCCAGCCTTTTGTAATGGATTGGTGGATCGGTGAGTAAGTGACTGCCCAAATTTTCGAGGTTAGGTCAAAATTTCAGAATTCGCTAGAAGTTTGCTCAAAGGGAGAGTCTGACTCCCTGATTACGAATATCATACTTGTTCGAAGCAAAAATGCCTGGCGCCTGCGCTACAAGCGCCCAAAGTGGTGAGGAGCGGTGCCGCCCAAGTTCATTATTAATTGCCCTCAAATTCTTTTTACTGTTAACTATACGCAAGCATGTTGGACTAGCAATGTTAGGAGTCTTCCTAGCTATCTTACTGCAAACGGCAAAAGAAAACTCGCCAGGGAGTCGATCCCCTGACCTCTTTTTCGTGAGCCTCGACCACAGCCCCTGCGCTTTTCTGCTTCATAATTCCTTTCAGAGAAGAGTTCAGCAGATAAGGAACACATATTTGAGCTCAGCGTCCCAAGGCGCGTATAGACATATACATCTCATTTCAATTGGCCGGGTTGATCAAATGACCTTCCCAATTTTCAGCAGGATTAGTGGGCCTATTTTGTGAAATTTTCCAATTTTTGAAGAGATGTTTTGCAGAAAGCTGTGAAGATAGCGAACAAATTTCTTCACTGTCGTAGACTACGGTTACTTGTCTGTAGGAGTAAAACTCATGCCTTGTACAGCTGAGCATTTCTGCCGTGGTGTGGCTCCAAACATCGCTCCGCGTCATGTCTTCACTGCCTTGAGCTAATCACTAAATATACTTATAATTTTTCCGTTTACGATTCCTTTGATTTTGCGGCACACCCTATTTACTCTTCTAGTAGGGTAACATTACGGGCAACTGTTACAGGCAGCTTCTGATATCTACGCACCCGTGTCTGGCACAGTGACAGAAAAGAATGAAGTTCTCGAGCAGGAGCCAGGAAAAATAAATAAGAGCCCATTTGGCGACGGTGAGATGAAATGCTTTCTACGAAACTTTTTTAATGCTGCTGCTCTCGGGAGAGGGGGGGGGACAAGAGAGAGGGGCCGAGTACAGCTAACAGTCTCAGAATGGAGCGGGTACGGCCACAAGAATGGAAGAGCTGGTTTTAAATAAAGTTTACATAAATTGAGTAATTAGATGAATGCGCTATCATGCAAAATTTTAGGAAACTGTTTTCGGGTTCTGGTCCTTTATTAAGGTGGCCCCGGCAGTTCGGCGCGAAGCGCTGAATCGAAACCGATAGCATGGTCCCAGAAAGCCGCCCCATCCATCTAGCTCCACCCCCTGTCGTAACCCGTTCGAAGGATTATAAGTCTCCTTAGTGTATTACTTCCATTACTTCTTTGTTTTGATAGCTGATTTTTTCTCTCGATGAGATAATAGAGGGACAAATTGGCACTCTAAAAGCAAGCTCAACCGTTCGTAAGAATATTCGAAGGAGGGGGGGGGTGTCATGTTTGGGGTTGACGACGGTTACCTATGTGATTGAAAAAAGTTGAAGTTGCTCCTGTTGAATAAGTGTGAGGGGGTGGATAAAAAAGGCTAAAGCATTTGCCGTTGATCAATCCCTTTATGGG